TTTTTTTTTTTTTGAGACAGAGTCTCACTTTGTTGCCCAGGCTAGAGTGAGTACCGTGGCGTCAGCCTAGCTCACAGCAACCTCAAACTCCTGGGCTCGAGTGATCCTTCTGCCTCAGCCTCCCGGGTAGCTGGGACTACAGGCATGCGCCACCATGCCCGGCTAATTTTTTATATATATATCAGTTGGCCAATTAATTTCTTTCTATTTATAGTAGAGACGGGGTCTCGCTCTTGCTCAGGCTGGTTTTGAACTCCTGACCTTGAGCAATCCGCCCGCCTCGGCCTCCCAAGAGCTAGGATTACAGGCGTGAGCCACAGCGCCCGGCCTTATATTTTTTATTAATAATTTAAATAAGGGAGAATTGTCCATGATGAAATTTATTAAAATGTGAAAGGATGGACTCAGAATATGCTAAATATGAAATGTTAATTGTTAGTTCAAAAGTTAGCTTACCATGTTTTATCCACCAACTCATTGCTTATAACCAAAGTCCTTGTTTACAGGTTTCTTCTCTTCTCTTCTCTGAACTCCAGATCGCTCAAATTTTTAAAACTGGTAATGTCCCCTAAATATATGAGACAACAAAATCTATTCTCAGCTGAAATAAATACTACCCCAGCCAGAAAAGGTGCAAGTATTCTTAGATGAGATGCAATATGCAGGACAGGTTAAGAACACAAAGGCTCTGGATCCAGATGGCCCATGATTGAACAATGAATCACTTATTAGCTGTATGACCTTGGGAAAAGTATTAAGCCTCATTTTTTTATCTATTAATGATGAGATAATAGTAGCCATCTCATAGTAGGGTTGTGAAGATTTGATACTTGGCTCAGTCGCTGCTGTGTAGTTATTCAATAATTGTTAGCTACCAATACCAATCTCTTTCCTTTTATCAACAAGTCTTATTGAGTCTCCTCCTAAATATTAAACTTTTCCTGTCATCTCCTTTCCCCTCTGCTACAGCTTCATGCTTTGGACCTTCATTACTTTATTGCCTGACCTATTATGATAGTCTCGTAATTGATTTCTGTCTCTTGTCTTACTAATCACCCTTGCCCACTATCATCTGCCATAGAATAGCCACAGTGAGTTTGTAATGAAACCAATCTTTTCCTACTAAAAGCCTATAAGTAGTTAATCACCTATAGATTAAAACAGATAAGAAACATTCTAGATACTTCCTTAACCTGGCCTCCAGCCACCTTACCAGCTTGATCTCCTCATCATTCTTCCATAAATCTCAAATACTTTACTAATCAGTAATGCCAACTACACTAGTCATTACATACACAAGACAGGTCAAAATATTTTTTGTTGCCAAAAACTCATATAATCAAACACTAGTTCCCATGGAAATTGATGCCAAAACTTTATTGATTCTATCAAAGGAAAATAAATTCAAGCATCAGGCAAGTAATGTCATAATAACTTCCATTTATAATTTCATACAAACAAAGCAGTTATCTGTCATTACATTAAGATTTTTTAAAAAAATCCTAAAACAACCAGCAAGCAACTAGATAGCAGCCACTCTATGTCAGTGATAGCAGGCTGTACAAATTAACTAAACTTCATCTATTCTAAGCTGCACATTTTATCACATTAACATCACTGAAATAAAGATGAGCTTTATAATTGCTGTTGGCCAGGCCACAGGTAGCTTAAAAGAAAATCATGGAGACAGTAATGGAGCCCGCTTAAGAAATGCTATATCACCAACACTCTTGATGCCACAGAGGATGATATTGTATGGAAAAAAGATGAACTCTGAAAGGACAAATGATACAGGATAGTCATACTCTAAATGTGAGGACATTTTAGGAATATGTTAACCAATGTTTCCAAAGTTTTTCACTTATATTTTACTTTTTATGCACACGAAAGAGGGATAAATGACAAAAATAATAATAAACCTCAGGGAACTCATTTCATTGCAGGGTAAAACTTAAAAGTGATGTGTCATAGTTTAATGGGCAGCATTCCTCACTCCACCTCCACTGTCTACCTCACAGGTACTTAAAGTGATAATATAATATTCTACAGCCTGCAACTGAGGGTGTCTTTAATTGGATGAAATACTATAGTGTACATTGGTGGGTACATTCAACCATGTTTCATAACCAACATTTCAAAGAATGAGAATGATTATTTTAGAACATAAATGCATGCGAGATTACATAGAATGATGTGAGAATTCATTCATCCATACAACAATCATTTATTGAGCATCTGTTCTGTGCCAGGCATTGATTGTTTCAGGAGCAAGGATTGCAGCAGTAAATAAAACATACAAAAATCCTTGCCCTCAGGAAGCTTAATTTCATGTGTATGAGATAGACAACACACCAAATAAATATCCAAATCATAGAGTATGTTAATTTTAAGAACTAAGGAGAAAGATAAAATAGGGAGAAAGAATAGGAATTTGAGGGGAGGTGCAATTTTAAGGTGAGTCATCAGGGAAGACCTGTAGAAGGTGAGGGAGCCAGCCATGTTTGATATTTCAAGGAAGGGCCAGAAAGGCAGAGAAGAGCAAGTGCCAAGACTCAGAAGCAGAGACCCATTTAGTGTACTTGAGGAACACAGCAAGGAGGCCAGAGGCTCTAAAGAAGGATAAAAGAAAGTGAAAGTAGATGGAAATGTTGTCATGAGGTAAGGAGAGAGGGAATCAGCAGATCATATAGATCAGTATGATTCAATAGAAAAACTAAGTGAGTCACATATATAATTTAATTTGTTCTAGTTGCCACATCAAAAAAGTAGAAGGAAACAGGGTGTAATTAATTTTAATATATTTTATTTAGCCCAATATATTAAAAATATCATTTCAACCAGATATGATATATTAAATATATTAATGGGATATTTCACATTAAAAATTTTTTAAATAGGCTTTATTTTTAGAGCAATTTTAGGTTCACAGCAAAATTGAGCAGAAGGTACAGGGATCATTCCTTTTTATGTACTAAGTCTTCAAAATCTGTTATGTATTTTACAGTTACAGCTCATCTCAATTTGTACAAGCCATATTTCAAGTGCTCAGTAGCCACATGTGATACTGTCTACCATATTGAACAGCCCAGATCTGGACCCTGGTAGAACAATGTAATGTTTTGGCTTTTGTTATGAGTGAATTGGAAAGTCATTGAAGAGTGTTTTGAGTGCAGGGGTGACATAACCTAACTTGAGGTTTCACAGAATACCCCTGGTTCCTGTGTTAAGAATAGAGAGGGAAGAATGTCACCTTACATGTCCTAGAAGAATCTTTGAACAAGCTCTCATCAAATAGCAAAACTGAATATAGACAAGCCTTGGCTTAGCAAAGATTCTGGTTTGGAAAATGAGTGTAATTGTAGTTCTCTTAAGGTTCTGTCTTTGAGCAAGCTGTCTTATTCCTGCAACATGGGGTAGCTCTCATGCTTCGAGAGACAGATAGATCATTATCTTCTTGGGAATATCTCCCAAGCCCTTTCCTAGAAATAAATTATCCTCCTATAATACTCAATCATAATCCTTAGTTTATATGCTTGTTTTTTCTCATGGATGGTAAGATCCTCAAGGTAAGGTACATAACATCCATCCTTAATCCTAATGCCCAGTAGAGTTCCTGGAAGATGGCAAGCTCTCAATAAACATTTGTTAATTTGAAGCAAAAAAAAAAAAAAAATTCTTAGCTAAACATCAAAAAAATGGAAATATCCCAAGTGTCCATCAACAGTGATATGTTGACATAATTAAACAATATACAGCCATGAGAATGAACAAACTAAAACTATATTCAAAATGGATTATTATAGGTAGAATTTTGAGTGGAAAAGGCAAAATACAAGAGTATATACCATATGATTCCATTTGCATAATGCTCGGTACAGGAAAAATAATAAAAATAAATAGGACACTGCTTACATTCTGAGGTAGTGATTATCAGGGGGCAAGAGGGGGATTCTGGGATTCTAGTAACATTCTATTTCTTTCTTTGGTTATACATTGTATCTAATTTTTAAAACTTCATTAAGCTATACAGTTATATGTGCACTGTCCAATGTGTATTTTATATTCTAATTAAAAGCATACGTGGAAGAGGTATATAGCTCCCCAAAGACAACAATACAAAAAAAAATAAATTATCTTAAGTGGAAACAATTTTGTTCAGCTGTCTTACAATACAATATATAAGAATAAACTTATGGCTAATTAACTTGTAGTATATGCATTTTTATAATTAAAAACTTCCACTAGTACAACATATGTCAAGTATGTTAAGTCAATTTTTCTCTTTCTCCAAAAAAGATTGTGAGTCATAATTTGGAAAACATTTACACATGTAATAATTTAGTGTTTTTATTTTAAACCCAGCAGAAGCCACATAGAGCAGAACTGTCCAACTAAGCCCTATCCATATTCCTGACCCATAGAATTGGGAGCAAATAAAACAGTTGCTACTTAAAAAAATACTTTGTTTTTACTTTAGTCCCATAATTTTCTATGAAAATACTTTAATTAAGCATTTTAAAACATGTGACTCCATGTTTTATACTTACTTTAGTGCAGTGGTTCTCAACCAGGGGCAATTTTGACCCCCTCCCAGTATATTTGGCAATGCCTGGAGACATTTTTGGTTGTCACAATTGGGGGAGTTGGGAGTTGCTACTGGCATCTAGTGTGCACAGGCCACAGAAGCTGCTAAGTATCCTACAGTGCATAGGATAGCCCTTCACAGCAGAGAATTAGCCAACCTTAAATGTCAGTAGTGCTGAATTTTTAAATCAGAATATTTCTTGACCAATTTTAATCTCTTATCTTTTAGAGATTTTTGAAAAATTGAAATTGCTTTGTTCAAAGTGAATGACTTTTCTTAAAATAAATTATGTATTGTTAACCTCTTTTAAATTGCTTATTTTTTTAAGTGTTTGCAGTGTTTTCTTTTTCCAGTTTGCTTTAAAAAATGTTTGAGAAATATGTTGTTTATAACAATTTTATTCTTCTTTCTCCAGGCTAGAAGAACAAAAGAATATCTTGTCAGAATTTCAAAGAGATTTAAATGAATTTATTTTATGGTTGGAGGAAGCAGATAACGTTACTAGCATTCCACTTGAACCTGGAAATGAGCAACAGCTAAAAGAAAAGCTTGAACAAGTCAAGGTAATTTTATTTTCTAAAATCCCCCAGGGCCTACTTGTATAAAGAGTATATGAATCTATTTTTTTAATTGAATCATTGATTTTCTGCCCATTAGGTTATTTATAGTTCCTTACTAAAGTGTTTTTCTTACAACTTTATTTTGTCTTAACCCAGTGGCTCCCAACGAGTGTGTGTATATATATATATATATGTGTGTGTGTGTGTGTGTGTGTGTCTATATAATGTATATATATTGAATCTATACATATGTATTTACATGTATAGATTCAATACATGCATATAAATATATATAATGCATGGAAGCTGTTTTCTAAACTAATTTATAAATTAAGTTTAGACTTATTTGAGAATTCTATGACTTTGTATAATTTCAAAATTAAAGAACAAAGTGTAGAATCATAAAATATAAATCTAAAAGGGAATCACTTATTCAATCTGTCTTAGGATATATCCCAGATTTAGAAAGAGTCTATAAAAAATCCCATTTCTTAGGAAAAATCTTCATTGCCAAATCAATCCTACTACTTCAGCCTCTAATGAAAGGCATTATATTCGCCTGAAGAAATGTTTTGTTTGGCTTATTTTGTCTGGGGTGGGGGGTGTGCTGGTTGAATAGACAGCCAGCTTATTCAAGTGGCTTTTCATATCTTCCTACTGTGATGTCTGCTTATTACTGATTACCTCACCTGGGTGACTGACATGCTCTGATTGTGCAGTTGGATTAACTTTCATGGTTTTAGTTTTAGGACAGGAGCTCTTCTGGATCTGTTTTATTTTGATTGTTGAAGGGAAGGTGAAAGGGGAAGGGGAATTAATATTTAATCATCTCCTATTATGTGCCAAGTATTAGATGCATTTACATCTGTTATTTTAATCTTCATATCAAACCTTCAAAATGGTTGCTATTATCCTCATTTTACAAGGTCACATAATCAAAGAAAACGGAATTGCTCCTTTATCAATGATTCAGTTAGTTTGCACACATAAATTAGGGTCCAATGTTAACCATTTAGTTTTATGAAACTAGAAATTTTCACTTGAACAAGAGATAAAGTATATAAATTAAAATATGGTTTAATTCAATGAGGGAGCACTTACTATATGCCATACCTTGTACTAGGTATTTGAGATTCAAAAATTAAAAACTTTGAGAACCATTTGAAGATGGTTCTCATTGAAAAATGAACTCAGTCTGTTCTTAGAAATTGATCTTTCCTAAATGTATAGAGTGTCACATACTGCAGTATAACTGATAATCCATTTAAGAGACATATTTAGTTGCATTTACTTATTAATAAATATGCATTGATTCTCTTTTCTCCTAGACAATCTAGGTGCATATACACATTTAGGATTGTTATGTCTTCTTGTTGAATTGATCCCTTTACCATTATATAATGACCATCTTTGTCTTTCTTTACTATTGTCGGTTTCAAGTCAACTTTATCTGATATGAGAATGGTTACACCTGCTCTCTTTTGGTTTCCATTTTCATGGAATATTTTTTTCTATCCTTTCACCTCAAGTCTCTCTGACTCCTTGTGGATTATATGTGTTTCCTGGAGACAGAAGATACATGGGTTGTATTTTTTCATCTATTTAGTCAGCCTACATCTTTTGAGAGGGACATTCAGACTGTTCACATTGAGTGATGGAATTGATATGTGGGTTGCTGCTCTGTTCATCATGTTGGGTATACCTTATTGCTTTGTTTTCCCTCTTGTGTGATTGTTTTATATGAGCTGTGAGCTTTAGCTTTTGTGTGATTTTACACTAGTGAGTATCTATTGTGTTGATCCACATATTATGCCATTCTAAGTATTTCCTACAGGAAAGGTCTGCTGGTGACAAATTCCCTCAGTATTTGCTTGTCAAGTAAAGTCTTTGTTTCTCCTTCATATATGAGACTTGATTTTTTAGGATACAAAATTCTAGGCTGGCATTTGTTCTGTTTAAGAAAACTGAAGATGGGGCCATGATTCCTTCTGGCTTCTCAGTTGAGAAGTCTGCAGTTAGCTCAATGGGTTTTCCTTTGTAAGTTACTTGATGTTTTCTTCTCAACAGCTTTCAGGAGTTATTCCTTCATGTTGACTTTGGACAGTCTGATGACTATATGTCTTGGTGATTTTCTCTCTGCAGTGAATCTCCCAAGTGTTCATTGAGCTTCTTCTTTCTGGACTTCTAAATCTCTAGCAAGACCAGGGAAGTTTTCCTCAATTATTTCCTTTATTTCTGTAAAGCCATGCCTATGATTCTTATATTTGGCTGTTTTACATAATCCCATATTTCTCATAGTCTTTGTTCATTCCTCTTGATTCTTTCTTCTTTATTTTTGACTGACTGCATTAATTTGAAAAAGTTGTCTTCGAACTCTGAAATTCTTTCTTTTGCCTGCTCTCTAGTCTATTCTTAGAGCTTTCGACCATGTTTTCTATTTCATTAAATGAATTTTTCATTTCCAAAGGTTCTACTATTTTTTTTAATATGTCATCTCTTTAGTAAATTTTTGTTCATTTCCTGAATTGTTTTTTTCTGGTTTCTTTCATTTGGTTTTCCATGTTCTCTTGGATTTCATTGAGTTTACTTACAATCTATATTTGGAAATCTTTATCATTTCAATATTTTCATTTTGGTTGGGATCCATTGCTAGAGAGCTGGTGTGCTCCTTTGAGGGTATCTTTTCACTCTCATTTTTCATTCTTCCAGAGTTCTTGCACTGATTCCTTCTCATCTGGAGCAGCTGTTGCTTCTTGTTTTTGGATTTTCTTTTGTTGAAATGGGGTTTCCCCCTACCTCACTCTTAAAGCTGTGTCTGTAGCATATGTTGGATAAGGACCTTTGGCTTGCTTATGAATGCTCTTATGGGTGTCCAGGTTCCAGATGGATACTTTAGTCAAAATAATCTGTAGCGTGGTGGTTTCCTCACTTGCTAGTTGTTTGTAGGCTGCAGTGGTAGTGAGCTATGTGTGTGGGCAGATTCCCTGTCTCTTATTGATAATGGAAGGTGGAGGCCTTTGAAATCATTTCTCTCCCCAGTCCTGCAGTCTTCTTAACAGTGTGAATTATATTGGGATGCCTAGTTTAATCTCCTAGACAGTAGGTGTTGCTCGTAAGAATCAGCCACACCCTGCATGATTGAATCAGTAATGCTGTAATGAGGTATACAAATTGTCCTCCCTGCCAGTAGGTGGCGCTTACCAGATAGAGCCAGCTGCAGTGTTGTTTTTTGAGACCTGTAACTGGCTCTCAGGAGAAGCATTTGAATGCCCTAGGTGGTGAGTGGGGCCCCCAGGGGACTCCTTATTCTCCATCACAGCAGAGGTGGGTAGAGGAGTGAGGCTAGATGGGGCTTGGTCAGGTAAGCCTGCATTCCAGTTCCACAAAGGCAGGCAAAAGAGCTGTCTCAGCAGGGGTGAAAGGTCAGCTCCCAGGTCACTTGGGAAAGCCTCCAGGGATGGGCTGAAGTGGCCCCACCAAGCCAGAAAGTTTCTCATGTGGGAGGGACAGCTTGGGATTCACAGTTTGGCTGTCAGGAGTGGATTTCACTCTTCTCCCTCCTCTCCTACCCCAAGGTATCCTTCTGTCATTTGGCCACAGGCAGAAACTCAACCTAGCTGAGCTCACCATCAGTGGCACTGTAGGATGGGAGCTTCCCTGTTGAGGATTCTACCCTGGGTTGAGAGTGTAGCTTTCCTGTGGGAAGAGGGCTGCTCCATGAGTACGCTATGGGTCTGAACCATACTGCACTCTCCTCTCAGTTCTGCCCATGCAGACTCCTTTGCCTCCTAAAACTAGTTCACAAATTTCCCCTCTGTGTTTCTGAGCAACGCAATTGAGTCCTAGGGTTATGAGGTCCCGCCTGTGGGCCTGTCCTCTGATCCCCCAAGTTTAATCCTTGACTATTCAGGGAGAAGCATGCTGGTCCCAACTTGCCCATGGAGTGCTCTAGCAGGTTTAATGTCCCTCTGCTTTGAGGTATGTCCTACTCTGCTGGAGCAGCCAGGTGAGCAGCACGGAGGGGGGCTGGCAGGCAGGGAACTCACATCACAGCACCTCTTGGTCTGTTACAGGTCATCTAGAGGAAAGGTGTGAGCCCCACTCTCTGTTGGAGCTTTGTTGTAGTGGACACACCAACAGAGGGGAAGCAGCAACTCCTGAGAGTCTTGACTCAATTGTCCCTTGGGGCACCAATGCCTCTAGGCAGCAGTATGTGGGGGAGGGGAAAGAGAGTAAAAACTCAAAGTGGAGGTGAGCTGGTGCTCTGGTCATCTCTGTTCCCCTCTCTGGAAGGCAGCCCACCAGAATGTCCAAGCTCTGGGTTCACACAGATCCCCCATAAGCCACTGGCCCCTGTATGGCCACTGCAGTCTGGGCTGGAGTTAGGAAATGTTGGTGTGGGAATAAGTTACATAAAAACTGAAGGTATGAAACTCCCTGGGTGTAGACAAAGGCACACAGTGGGCGGAGAAGCAATATGGTGCTGGCCATCTTGGCTTGTGTCTGTGGTGATGGGAAAGTGACCCTGAGGGGGCTGGCAGCCTGGTGGTTTATCCTCAAGAAGCTCCAAGTTTACTGATGGCAGCAGCTTTTGGGCTTGTGAGGGTAGAAAAGCTCTCCAGCAGCTTGGAAACCTGCTGACTTCCAGAGGTGTGAGGGTAGGAAAAATAAACCCCCCACCTGCCCTTTCCACTGGGCTCCAAGCCTCTCAGAGTTTAATCTCTGGCAATATCATGCTCTTTCTTGTTCTGCCCTGCAACTTCTTCCTGTGGAATCTCTGGTAGGTTCTGAAACTTTTTTTATTAGAATTACACCTGATCTATGTTTTTTTTTCCCCCCCATCTAAAACTTTTCCTTCTTTCTGAGATGATCTGGCAACTGATGTCTCTAATCAGACATCTTCCCATGGATCCTCTGCTCAGACAATCTGGATCAGGGCTGTCCAATAGAACTTCTATGATAATAGAAATGTTCTACATCAACCAATTTTATAGCCACTAGCCATTTGTGCCTTTTGAATACTTCAAAGGTGGCTAGTGCATCTTAGGAACTGAAGTTTTATTTTATTAAATGTTAATTAATTTAAATTTAAATAGTTTCATGTGGCTAGTGGCTACAATACAGGACACTGCAACACTAGATGACAAAAAATAAAACACAACATCATGGTTGTGTTTTGAAGGTATTGCAAAAGGGCATACATAATGTGATGCTGAATGAATAAGAGAAATTCAGGTATGTGAAGGAGTGAAAAATAAGGGTTTAGAATGAAACAACCTAAGTTTGAATCACAGCTCTGTTGCTTGCTAGTTTTGTGTCCTTGGAGCTAGTATTTAACCCTTCTGTCTCAGTTTTCTTCTATATAAAATAATATAATAGGATCTACTTCATATAATTATTATAATATGAACATAAACTGAGCTATGAGGAGATTAACAAAGTGCCTGGCACTGTGTACATTGAGAGTTAATATTCTCAATATTAGCTATCTCTTAAAATGGTCTGCAATTTCTTACACAGTGGCATGCTATGGTATGCTATGGTATCTAAGAAGTTGATTAATATACCCAGATTGTTCTATTTGTGATAGAGATATGTTTTCAGACTCTAACTCTGTTTGGGGTATTGTTTTACCATCTAACATTTTTCTCGTGAAAAAAATCTGTGAGGGATAGATAATCTGGTCCTTTTCAGGAAGGTTTATCTACTGAACAGTGGGTGTTTCAGTCCATTAGCTCTGTGCTCTGTAGAAAACTGTTGCTATTTGAGGTACCACTAGGCCTTCGGTCAAGTTGTTTCATTTTGATAGACTAATCAATAGAACTGAAGACAAGGCAGTTGGAATTGTGCTGTAATTCATTTTAAACGTTGTTGCATTTGTCTGTTTCAGTTACTGGTGGAAGAGTTGCCCCTGCGCCAGGGAATTCTAAAACAATTAAATGAAACTGGAGGAACAGCACTTGTAAGTGCTCCCATAAGCCCAGAAGAGCAGGATAAACTTCAAAATAAGCTCAAGCACACAAATCTCCAGTGGATAAAGGTTAGACATTAACCATCTCCTCTGTCACATGTGTTAAATGTTGGCAAATGTTTGTATTTGTTTTGTTTCCTGGGTGTTTTATTGTGGGCCGGGGGAGAGGCTGATATGTGGATTGTTGTTTTGTTTGGTTTTTTAACCTGATCATTTGATTTGGCTGTATCTTTTGTTGTGAATGTAAGCCATGGTAATGGTGGATGGCTTTACATTGCTGACCAAATGCCAAAACATAGACCACTATTCCATTGCATAAATTATTCTAAAGAATTAGACTGAAAAAATGATGAAGTAATTAATTCAGTATTCAGATGTATATTGACAGTATTTAAGCAAAATGTAGGTGGTCTAGTTCTAGTTCAACAAGTATCATAAATCAAAATCATTTATTTGTACCTATAGTATAGACTTAATAATTCATGCTAACCCTCTCCAAAAGGTGCTTTATTTATTTATTTATTTATTTATTTATTTATTTACCTGCTGTCTTATCACTTAACTTGTGAGTCTTCATCTTTCTACCTTGGATACTTTCTAAATATAATATTAAAAATGTTTATTAAATTAATATATAGTTTAAAAACAAGTGTTCTATTTGAATTTATGATTTAAAGCAACATTAATTGATCATCAGCATTTATTGAAAGACAGTAATTTTTCTACTGTACTGCCATGGCATCTTTGTCATAAATCAAGTGAACTTACTGTATGCATCTGCTTCTGGATTCTCAATCCTCTTCTATTTGATCATGACTGTCCTTCAACCACACTGGCTTAATTATAATATTTTTTAATGGATTTACTGAGATATAATTCACATACCATTAGATCCATCCACTTAAAGTATAAAATTCAATGGTTTGGGTATATTATAATAATTTTTTAAAATTGTGATTGAATATATATATAACATAAAAGTCATTTAAACCATTTTAAGTATATAGTTTAATGGCATTTATTTCAACCATCACTACCATTTATCTTAATAATTTTTCATCACTCCAAACAGAAATTATTAAACATTGAACAATAGTCCCCCCTCCTCCCTTTTGGTAACCTTGAATCTACTTTGTATTTCTATAAATTTGCCTATTCTAGATATTTCATATAAGTGGACTGAGATAATATTTGTCACTTTCTGTTTGGCTTATTTCACTCAGCATAATGTTTTCAGGCTTCATCCTTGTTGTAGAATGTGTCAGAACTTTGTTCTTTTTATGACTGAATAATATTCTATTGTATGTACGTATCCAATCATTTTATTTAAAAATTTGGGATATGGCAGTGTAAACCACCCAACTTTGTCCTTCCTATTCAAGATTGCCTTGGCTATTTTTGGTTCTTTGAATAAATATTAGAACCATGTTGTTAATTTTTACATGAAGCCTTCTAGGATGATTATTGAAATTGTGTTGAATTTGTAGATTGACTAACATCTTTACAATACTGAGTCATCTAATCTGTGAAAACAATGTACCCCTCAATTTATTTAGGTCTTCTTTAATGAATTTTTAGTAATGTTTTGCAGTTTTCAGTCCAGAGATCCTATATGTGTTTTATTAGAGTTAATCCCAGATATTTGATGTTTTCATCCTATTATAAATGAGATTCATTTATTTTTTTCTTTGTTGAAGGTTTATAAAAATATAATTGATTTTTATAAATTGAGCACATATCTAAAGACCTTTTTAAATTCACTTTTTAACAACAAAGTTTTTAGAATCTTGAGGTCTTTTTAATGCATGATGCATATTTGTATCATCAAATAGAGGTAGTCTCTTGAATCCTCATGATTTTAGTTTATATAATTTTTTGCATCATTGTACAGCTTCGACCTCCAAAACAATGTTAAATAGAAGTGGTAATAATTAGAAGCCTTGTTTCCTTCTGTGTCTCAGGTGGAAAACTATCAATATTTATCATTAAATATGATGGGTTTTTTAAAAGACTTTTGGTCTTCTTAATCAGAATAAGGAATTTCTTTATTCCCAGTTTAAGTTTGTATTGTGAATAGCTATCGATCACAGTCAAGTGTATTCTTTGCATTTCTTAAAATGATTGTATGATTTTGCTATTTTTCTGTGAATGTGGTGAATTATAGACATTGATTTTTTAATGTAAACCACTCTGAGATTGCTGAAATAAGCCTTATTGGTCATGATGTATTATGCTTTTTATAGATTTATTGATTTAGTTTTCTAATATTTTGTTTAAGATTTTTATATTTTTGTTCATGACAAAGATGAGTCTGTAATATTTTTCTCCTAATATCCTTCTCAAATATTGGTAGCACTGTTACACTAGTTTTACAAAACAAGTTGAGAAATGTTTCCTATTTTTCTTTTATCTGGAAAAATTGTTGAATATTGGTATTATTTCTTCCTAAAATGTTTCAAAGAATTCAATTGTTGATCCTTCTGAACATGGAATTTTTTTGTGGGAAAGTTTTTAATAATTATTTTTTTAATTTGATTTCTTTAATATATATAGGGATTGTTATATTTTTAAAATATCTTTATATGTCAGCTTTTGTAACTTGTGTCTTTCAAGGAATTTGTCTGCTATCTTGTCATTTTCTCTTTTGGGGCTATAGACTTTCTTCGCACAGCTAGTTACCTTTTATATATTTATATACAAGAATGGGAAAATAGAAAGAATAAGAGCTTTGAGTACCCGGGTAGATCTTGTTGACTGGAATATATTACTCTAAGTGCTAACGGAGAGAGCTGACTCTCCTGCGAAAGGATACCTTCAAATTCTATAATACAACAATGCTTCATTCAGAGGTATACCAATTACTGACTTTCTAGTTACCAGGTTCAATTTCTTCAGATAATGACTTACTTTTGTTTGATTGTTTTATGTTTATTTGTGTTTATTAGTAAGTGCTATGGGAAGACAGTTCTTTGTGTGGTACCTTTGAGCTAGGGGTAAATGTTTACGTAGAAACATTCAGTACCCCATTGTTAACCTGCTTCTTATTCCCACCCAACATGACATCTTTCATCCAGCCATTCTCCACATTCTGTCAGAGTCAGCTCTCATTGTGCCTAATGTTACTTCTCCCTCACTCCATTTGTCCCCATATGTGCTTTTCCCATATATGCTTTTGACCTTCAAGGATGTTTTGAAACCTCTCATCCACTTTTCACCACAGTTCCACTACCTTATTGAGCATATTTAAAACCTGTTAACTTTATACCATCCAAAGTCTAAAGCAAATTGTATTATTTAAACTGAGAACAAATCTATGCCAAGAAGATATTGCAGAACTATAATTTTCATGTAATATAAAATGCCTTCTTTCAAAAAAATGGCACAATTGCCTCTAAAGAATTGCTTGTTATTCACCAGCATCCAACTCAGTTGAGAGGCATGAAGGAATTATACTGAGAAAAATTTCTGTTCTTTGAAAAGAAAATAATAGAGGCTTCATTTTAAATTGTGTCAGCTTATTTATTATATTTTTTAATTGATGATGCTGAAGTTCATATAACAGATCATTTACATGACTGATAAAATATTTAGGAACTGAAATAAGTACCAATTTTATGACATTAAAATCAAAATGTGTGCTTTAGGCCTCAATAATTGAAGCTAGGAGGTATTTGAAAAAGTCCTCTTTTATTTTTATATGTCAATATTATATCTCAGTTATGTGAATAATCAGAGTAAAACATTTTAAGGTGAATTTTTGCTACTGAAAAATAAGTTTCTTCCCTTAATGATTTTTTTTTTATTTTGGCATATTATGGGGGTACAGATTTTACCTTAATGATTTTTAAACAGCCATGTAGAGATATAGACACTTACATATGGAAGGAACGTGGTATTCTAGTAATTAAATTTTGCAGCCACATAACAATACAAATAAAATCATTCCTCATAGAAAGAGAACAAGGAGAAGGCATGCCCCAAAATATTCCATAATATCCCAATACATCCTGATGTCAAAAAACGAACATAAAAATAATAATTGTAGGAAATGTGAGAAAACTATCTAAAATACATGATAGCACTTTTGTGGATTGTAAAACATAAGCCAAGGTTTTATGTATTCTTCAATAAAATAAATAGTCAAAATTTTTGTGATCAAAAGTTAAAACTAAGATTATGAACACCATCTTAGGCAGGCTTACATTACTACACCATCCATAATATTTGTGTTCTATCCCAAAATTATAACTTCAATGCTAGGCCTTCCCCATTAAATGTCACAGAATTTATAGTCTTATTCATTAGACATATTAAAATTTTTCCATCAATATGCCTCCTTATTTCTGTTAGTTTAGATTTAGGAATAGAAAGCAAATGATCAGTGCCAGATTTAGATAAGTACACACGTTTTTTAAAAAAGTAAGGAAGATGGCTTTTGTCTTACTGAGACATAGTCTTAATCTACATTAAACCTCAAATTCTCAGTCAATAGAGGGGAGAAGAAATAATAGGGACCCCCTCCTCTGTGTTCTTCAGGCCCCTCTTCCATCCAAAGGCTAGAGTGGGTGTTAAACTTTAAAAGTGGTAAGCCACGGTTGTTGGGACACAAATACTTCAATTTCTTAGCACACAGTATCTCTAAAAATGTCCTAATATTATAATCTGCTGGCAGGTGCCTTTCTCCATAGCTAACTTTATTGTGCTGCAGTCTGCATATTTAGCCAACTGACTACTTACATTTGTACCTTTATGTTTCATTACTAAAGAGAGAAAACAGCAATTGGAAGTAATATAGCTATTTCTTTAAGGGAGTAGCGGACCGTATAATGAGTTCATTGCAAAAATGTGTTACCTTGCCTTGGCCTGGGTAGCTTCTCTTTTAAGCAGAGATGGAAGGTGTTCCTTTACTGAATATAGCCATTAGCTTAAATTTATGGGTGCCTTCATGGTATGAAGGATCATGAAGTTATATCCTCATTCTTGTCTAATACATAACTTGACCTTTACAATCTTTAATAATAATACCCTTAAGATCCACAATGTGGGGATATTATTAAAGCTAACCTCTG